AAAATGATTTTATTGACGGGATCAGAAATACCACTTCAAGCATAGAAGCCTCGATGTTACGGAGGTTGTTAACGATTAGTGATAACAATGTTTTCTTTTGAATCTTCTCCTGTTTTTTCATGACTATTTTATCAATATTTTTTTTCGAGAAGCTTTATCACTACGTATAATTTACGTAATGTATATTATCATAATGCTTCTAACGTCGTCTACGGTTCGATCACCGAAAAGTTATAAGGCATTCTTTTTACAAGCACACGGGGGTTTCCACATATTCTTATTGTTCCCCAGATCTGGACTACCTGCCTCCATTGCGCGTTGCCTTTTTGGTATCCCTTCCTTCTGTTGCCGATGAACGGTGTAACATCCAGAAATAGTTGAAATTTTTCTATCCGGTTAACGTGGAAAAAAAGAAGAAATAGCAATCATTCCAGTGTTTATGTCACTTTTTTACGTATTTGCAAAACTTATTCAAAGATCTCTCTTCCTCAATCGATCCTGTTTTTATCTTAAATCGAAAGATGCTAATCAGTCGCTGGAGAATTTTACAGCGAAACGCTTATTTGAAAAGCATAGAAACCGATTTTTTTTTAATTCTCTTTTCCTCTCTTCGCATGGTTCCTCCTTTCCTCAACTCCCAGAAAACCGTTTCTACGAATGGAATTAGTTTTAACCGCCGCTGCCTTCTCTGCAACCGATGAGAGACACCAAATCTTGTTCAAAGGAATTCCCCTCTTCAGAAAGTTGCCTCCCTAATAGTTTTCCAACCACCTTAATTTTTGGCTGAATTAACCATCCAGTCAAAAGGCTTGGTCAAAAAATGCTTTTAGTAAAAAATTATTAAGTTTAAAACGATACAACAAATGCTTTTGAAAAACAAGGATTCATAACTAAAAAAATCATCATTGCTACTGAAAATCAATAAAAACAATATAGAAATAAAAATAATGATGATAACAATAATAATACTAATGCGAGAATTCATATATGAAGAAAAAGGCTCAAAGCGATTTCCTCGGAAGAAGGCTGAAAGGAGAACCCCTCTACTTTCAGTTTATATCACTGCCAAATAATAATAATAGTAATAATAATAATGATAGCAATAATAACAGTAACAGCAACAACAACGGTGACATAATAATAATGATAATAATAGTAAGAGTAAAAATAATAACAACGATAACAGCAAAAATAATGCCTATAACAACAAGCAGTATTAGTAAAATCTTTGAAAGCTTTAGGGGCTTATCGCCGTTTCCTATTTGGAATTCGGCGCATGCTGCTGAAGATCAGTTTTACAGGTAGGTGATATCTGTTTACCGAAATTACCAAGATGAAAGATGTTTACCAAAACCGGTAAATGATTGCCCTACACAAGTTTCGCAAAACTTGGGCATATTTATCAGTCTAAAGCACAGAAGAAAAACTTTGCTACTGTCCCTCCCTTCTTCCCCTCTCTTTTCCGTCTCGCTGCCCTGGGGGAGTAATAGTTTTCTTTTAGGCTGAATCGCCCAGTTTGATGTGGAGGTGCGCCGGAGGAGACATACTCACACATAACCCTGAAAGATAACCTTGCCATTCTCTCTTCTTACTTTCTTTCCATCCCCTGTCTCCTCTTGGATTATTGAAGAATTTTAAATATTTTATTGGCTAAACTTTATATATACTGGATATTAAATGCTGGGGAACAAAATGGATCGCTTAGAACTGTTAGAAGTAAAAAAAACTCAGTCTTGCAAAAATTCATGACGTTCGTGAAAAAATGGCGCATACTTCTCCCACATTTTCCCCTTTCCCGCACTCGTTCCTCCGTTTAAATGATTTTTAGTTTACCAGAACATCGAGACTTTTTACAGCAGCTCTACCTTTCCTGGGCGAGATCTCTGCTGGCGATTAGCGTAATCAAGCAGCAGCTGATGAGAATCCGAAAATTTGTTGAAATGAAGCGATAGAGATGAAGTTGCTGCCGATAGTGATGATGCGGACGAGATTGAGTGTGGTTCCTCTTGTTCGTCGTCACAGCGGCCGGCACGTCGTTCAATGTCATCTTGGAGGAGGATACATTTTCAGGAGAGGGGTGGGGGCGGGTGCAACCGTCACATCACATCGCCTTAAATGCTGCTCCAACAAAACCACCTGTTATCACTTCTCGTCCTCGTTTGCCCGGGGCTTCGGAGATTGCACACACAGCTATGCTTGGAACTAAAGCAACTTTCACGGATTCGGATTTGGGGGCATGTAGCTGGTACACCTGCAACATTTGGGACTCTTTCATGCGTCATTTTTAGTGAAAGAATAAGAAAAGACAAGTTTCTGATACAAGGAGTTTTGCTCACGTCTTTCATTCAGTAAGCGAAAAGTTGCAAGCGCTTTTTTCCGAAAAAAATGGTACCCATGAAACAAAAAATTAACAAGTTGGGGAATGTTTGAACAGATAATACAGTTGCTACTAGAGATATTGTTTGCTAACTAGAAGCTGAAGCTGATCACGCAGCATTACTGAAGGGCTCTAGTGACTGTGCATTTGTTGAAGCTGAACTTGTAATATCTATTCTTCTCAGCAGGGAGGTTCACAATAACGTATCAAGCAACTTGAGTCGTAATTTTACCGAGGTTACCAAGACTGCCAGGATGTCTGAGCACCCAGTGCTAACAGTTTTACTAAGATGCATCTACACGCCTGGCACATCTACGCCAGATGCTTTAATCATAATTATTGACTTTTAAAAGTCTAAAAAGAGTTTTTTTTGCAGTAGTCTGAAAAAATTACTAAAAAAGACATCTGCTTCCCAAAATTTGTCATTTTTGAAAGAGGAAAGAGAGAGTGAGGTGGAAGGGAGGGAAAATGAGAAAATAAATCCGAAATTGCTTCCTCGCGGTTTTTCCAAAAGCGAATTTGCTCGTAATTTTCTGTGGTAAAGCGAAGCGCAATGATTTGTTAGAAATGAGTTAAATGTTGCGCAACTGTTTAACAATGCACAGTTCTCATTTATGAGTTATTTTATGGAATGGGCGACATGGTCACAAAAAAGAAGAGGCAAGCGGTGAAAGTTGGAAAACGGTAGGGCTGAGAGGAGGAAAGGAGGAAAGAAGAGAGGTAAATCGAACCATTAAAGCTACAGGTTCCTTACAAATTTTCAGCGCTATCGCATTATAAATTTCGATGCACAATGCTTTTTTTCCTGCGTACACATTCATTTTCATGCTATTTCGCTTCTGTGATTTTCAAAGCCATCATACCGCGGAAAAAAGATGCACCTCAAATTTCCTATTTTCCAGATTGCCAGCACCCAAAAATTCACAAGTCCTAAGAAGAATAAAGACTTTAGTGGTGCTGTTGATAGCCGTTATTAACCATGGTCAAATACATTTGTTAACACGTAATAATACCGGGATACCAAAACTGCGTGACTATCGGTGTGGAGAACTTTAATAATAAGCAGAAAAAATAATAGCACAATATTATTAATTATAATTATGAGAAAAGAATTAAAAATAATAGCGATAACAGTAACAATAACGATAATAATAACAATAACAATAACAATAATAACAACAACGATAGTAGTAATAATAGTAGCTGTAATAATAAAAAAAAAAAAACATGGTAAATGGGTCAAAAATACCACAGCGAATAAATAAAAATATAGAGTCATATTTCGATAAAATAATTTTTTTTGCACCGTCCTAAATTAATGTCTGTTTTCCAGTCAATTTTTTTACTATTTTCGATCACCCGCCACTACTTTTACACCCCATAGTGCTTTAAAAAAATTAGCTTTCATGATGATAAATTTTCGTTTTTCTTTACATTTCAGTAGCATTTATTATCTGAGTTATTGCGTTTCTTCTTCGGCCAAATTCAGCAACTCATACACTTTAAAATAGCAGTATCTTGGTCCAGCATATTGTTTTATAAGGAAATAACTATATTTTACTATCTGTTTATTATATTAGTTCCGTTTCTTACGTAGTGATTCTTTTCTCTTATGTGTTATTTTATTTTCCAAATTTGTGTTGATTTCCACTTCTGGATAAGGAATTTATAACCTGTCCTCTACTGCACTGCATTGCGTAGGACCAATCTCACTGGGACGTATGAGGGCAACATTCAGGACAAGCTGTTGATGCTCAGCACACATAAGAATTTCTTGGAATGATCAAAACTTGTATGCTTTTCTGATAGAAGAACCGTTGATTGACCATCAGGCGATACAGTACTGGCCAACGAAACTTACAGAATTTTCAACGATTCGGGAAATTCCCAGCATCGAGATATAATGTAACCAGGCACGATTTTTTAATACAGGTCCTGGAATTGAACAAAATCCCGAAAATTTTCTTAATTTCAGGCATCATTTAAAGTTGGAAATGAAAAATTCGCTATTTTTTTATTTCATGTTTAACTAGTAAAAAATCGCTCTAATCATTTCAAAATGGCTGAATGGTGTGCCGAAAATTTGCGCGATTGTCAGGTTTGTTTTTAATCACTATTTGAAGTTCAAGCAAAATTTTTGAACGGTCATAAAATTACCGCCAGAAGACTAACCATCAGACGATGCAGCACTGATCAAAACAGTCGTGAAATGAAGAAAAAAATGACATGATTGCTGATTAATATCACTGATGAATCAGTGAGTGATGAACTGATAGCCATTTTAACTATGTAAATGCAAAGTAAATACCAAACTGTCGTGAATATCGAACAGTAAATAATATCCATGTGGAGGACACTCGCAACTTCAAATCTTTTTTGAATCAGCCGGTTTGGATTCAAAATTGACAAACTTTTACGAAAAGAAACTAAAAACGCAATTAAGATCTTTTTTTACTATTTTAGGTTTCATCCAGCAAGAAAAATAATTTTGCCATTTTTATTATTTTTTTGAATCAGCCGGTTTGGGAAATTTTACTATTTTTTCAGTTAGCGAAAAAATAAAGACCAGCAGTTTCAGCTCCCCTTTGCATCTCCTCAGGTCTCTTTTTTTACTATCGTGCCAACTTTACAACACACATTTCTTTCCAAACGACTTCCACAGCTATGTGAGCTGAAATTTTGGATTGAAAAATTCTCAACTAACCATCTGCTCGTCTAAAATAAGCTGCTTCATTAAGTAAATTTCATTCAGACAATGGTAACAGTTCCACTTACAGAAATCGCTTGTCTTCAGTGCTAGAGCTGAAAAACAAATGCTACCAAGGTATTACTAGAGCAGTTTCAAATAGCCGTAGGATCAGTGTGTGGTAAACTGTCTTCAGCACATCTTTTCCGCCAAAATTGTATTTTAGGCATGGCGAGCGGAAGGTATCCAAATATCGACAAGCTCCAACGAAGCAGCTCGTTTGTACGATGGTCTCCTGCGGCAATATGTATCCTGGAGCGATTGCGAAAAGCTTGGTGGAATGGATAAGACGCACAATAAAATGATTGAAGCCGAACCAGACGCTAGTAGGAACCTAAATCTCTAAAGCTATAATTGGCGATTTCGAAATTTTATAGACATTTGAAACCGAAAACGTATGAAATAAGCCAATTTACTGAGCAGTACTGATTTTTTAAGGAAGTCTCATATATGAAAAGGAATTATTCGGTAAACTTGCAGTAATGAGTCGAGTGATATCACTGGGCTTGGAAGCAATGGGAACAGGGAGATCGTTGCGTCTGGATGAAGAATATCGAAACGAACTGCAGCAGCTGCTTAAAGATGCGCTAAAACGTGGTACCGAGCATGAAAAGAAGCATGCAAAGGCTGTTCACATGTTTGCAAATGAGTTCGTAAATCACCGTTCATTACGAGACCAAAAAGTTATCCCTAAAACTAAATAATCTGACACAGCCATTTTTTTTAAGGCTGAAAAAAATGGGAGAAAAAGAGAGACAGAAAGAAAAAAAGAGAAGCATTTTTGGAATGTTCCTATTGGCGAGGAAAAACAGGTGCAGGAAGAAAAAGAAGAGGATGGAAAGGAGAAGGATGAGGAGACTAATTTTTAACAGTTTTTTCTACTGCGCTATACCCGCCGACAAAATTAATAATTTTAATTTCAAAATTGGCAAAACCATCTCAGTTACAGGAAGATTTGAACGGAAAGCAAATTAACATAATAACAAAAAAGAATTTGATAATTTTTCGATGGATCAAATTTTAAATTTTTTTAAAAAAATTAATTTTTGCAGCAAAATGGTGGCAGCTTGTGAGCAGTGGGAGGAAATACTGAGGGAGACACCGAACGATATGTTAGCCGTGAAATTTGCGCATGATGCGTACTTTTACCTGGGTGACAAGGAATCTATCCGAGACAGTATTGCCCGTGTGTTTCCCAAGTGGAATACTTCTGCGCCTTGCTACAGGTTGAGATTTTTCCGATTGAAAAATAAATCTGCGAGTAAAAGAGAGCGGAGGAGAAACGAGGTAAAGGAAGAGGTTAGAAGAGGAGGTAAATTTGCGAAGAAATTATTCTAGATTATCCAGCTAAAGGTTTTTGAATTGCAGCTACCTGCACGGAATGCATGCATTTGGACTGGAGGAATGCGGGCAGTACGAAGAAGCTGAGAAGCAAGCAAGAAAAGTCAGTTACCACTACTTTCTTTAAATCCTCTGTATTGTAATTTTGGATTTATTAAAAGTGGATTTAGATTTTTTAAAGCTGTAGACTTATCAAGGGTTTAGCGTTAACTGATAAGCTCCCGCTTACAAATAGGATTAATTAAGCTTAAGTGATTTTTTAGATTTCCACTTTTACGATGGTGATTGATTGCTTTAAATTAATTATCCACTTCCTGCAAAATTATGTCGTTAATTAATTAATCGAAATCAATTAGCTCGCTGATTCTTGTTAATTATTGCAACTGTTCTGTTGCCTAACATTTTTTTTATCCAAAAGTCGAAAAAATAAAAATGTGATCATACCAGACCAAAATGGTTGATCTGAAGTATTTTACATTTTTTTTTTTGATTTTGCTATTTCTTTATTATTTTAGTTTTGAAATTCGTCATTCTTTCGATGAGCAGTAATTTTTGGCTCAAAAGACGAAATTCTTAACCCACTTTGTTTGTGTAC